TGACCCTCCTCTTTATAGACTGGACACTGGCTCAAGTCCATCTGGTGGGGTCTCCTCAGCTTCCTTGATCAAGAGGCCAGATGACCCACCACCATTCAGTCTGGTACTTTTAATTACCATATGCTATGTAGATAAAGCTTGGGCAAAAACCAAATGTTCTGAGATAAATCTTGACCAGACATATATTTTTTTCCTTAAAGTAGTTGACTAAACTATGACCTTAGAAATTTTAAGATTATGTGTATATTATTTTAGTCTCATCCTTTATGTATCATAACAAACCTGCATAGACCTTCATCACTTGCTTGGGCTTTCTCATTTTTTTCTATTTTGGAAAATATCTTCATTCCCATACCCTTTTAACATCTTTTACATTCTCATTTTCTTTTTTTAAATAATTATGAGACATAATAACATTAACAAATAAATTTTCCATCTGTTGTGAAAATTCTTTTCCTGGGGCTACTAAGCAATGCTTATCCCCTTTTAAGGCTCTAGTGTCAAACCAATGTTTAATTAAAGTTTTCCTGGAAAACCGATGAATTTACTGAGCTCACTTACAGAGATGACAGAGGGGTTGCTGGGGTATATGAGTGACCTGGAGGTATGCACACTGGAAAGCCTTTACCCAGCATGGATCAAGCCTTCTCTTCCTAGCCATCCCCAGATTATATACTCTAGTCCTCCCCAAATCTAGGTGACAATGTGTGATTAGGGCCAAATAGTGAGGGTCCAGTGACCCTGCTTGCCCCTTCTTTAAAGAAAGAGCACAGCCATCAACTAAGCCCATTGTGATGATGTTTAGCCATCAGGCACAGCTGAAGTCATGATGATGGTAGATATTTCATGCAGAACAGACTGCTGTACAGCATCATCTTATTAAAAGAGCATGGAATTTAAAAGGATTTGGTGCTAGCCAGCTGTAGCTTTGATTAAAAGGCAAAGGAGCAAAAGCAGTTGTTTATAAAAATTAAACAAATCCGTGAGCTGTTTACCATCACTCTGGGTTTTCTCTTCAGACTGTCGCTGCTCTTCTTGTCAAGTTCCTGGTCTTGGTCTTAGCTGTTCTGTTGTTTGTTTACTTTGTATCAGTGTCCATCAAAGGAAACAGTGCTGAGATGAAGAGCGACTTAAAGACATTGTCTCTGTCTCATACATAGGGTGTAAGTTTATTTATTTTGTGTTTGTTTTGAGACAGGGTCTTGCGATGGAGCTGAGGCTAGCCTGGAACTGGCTGTGTATCTTGGAACTTGTGATTCTCCTGCCTTCACTTCCCAAGGGCTGGTGTGTGCCACACACCTGGCAAATTTGTTTATTTACTGTTCTGGTTTATTTCTTCATTGCTGTGACAAAATACTCTGGCCACTACCAACTTGGGGAGGAAAGGGTTTATTTACCTTACATATCTCAGGTCACAGTTCATCCGGGAGCCCAAGGTAGGACCTCAGGGCAGGAACCTGGAGGCAGGAGCTGGAGCACAGGCCACGGAGGAATGCTGCTTACTGGCTTGCTCCCTTGGCCCCTGCTCAGCCTGCTTTCTTATGCAAAACAAGCCCACCCGCCCCGGGGGGGGACCACCCACAGTGGGCTGGGCCCTCCCACATCACTCATCAAGAAGATGCCCCTCAGACATGGCCACAGGCCAGTCCAATAGAGGAAATTCCCCGACTGAGGCTCCCTCAACCCAGGTGTGTCAAGTTGACACTAAAGCCATCCAGCACAGTATCTCTTCATTCCCAAAGAAATAGAACCATAATATGACTGTATTTGTTTTCCTTTTTCTATTAACATTTTGTTATCCTAATGTTTTTCTTAAGTATATATTTGTTTGATTTTTTTTTCCACATTCAGGCTTTTTTTTTTTTTTTTTTTTTTCAAGCCAGAACATTTGCCCTTTTGCAATTTGATTGTTTTCTGGACTTTAAAATATTTTAGATAAGTACACAACTACCTACCTGTATTTTGTACTACTTCTGTTTATATTATTGTGTGTGTGTGAATGTAAGTGTGGAGTCAGAGGACATTTGAGGAGTTGGTTCTTCTTCCATCTTTATAGGGGAATCAAACTCGGGTCGCCAGGCTTGCACAGCAAGCACCTTTACTTGCTGAGCTATCTTACCAGCTCTTGTGTTACTTTTTTATAGTACAGTGTTTAAAGTATTTTTATCTCGGACTTGACTTCGATGTGTGGTAAAGCAGACTGATGTAGATTTTTAAAGGAGAAGCTCACTTATCACAAGTTATAGGGCTGAGGAGATGGCTCAGTGGGTCTGAGCCCTTGCCGTGCAATCATGAGAAGCTGAGATCCAATCCCAGCACCATATAGAAGTCAAACATGGCTACTCAGGCCTGTAACCCTGATCCTGTGGAGGGACAGAGGTCGGACGATCCTGCAGCTTGCTGACCGCTTGCCCAGATCCAAAGAGGTCTCAGGGAGAGGCACTGTCTCAAGGGAGTAAGACTGCGCGTGCTAGAGCAGGACACCCAGCGCCATCCTTTGTCCTCTGTGTATGCATGTGGGTGCATGTACCCTCAAACACATGCCATACTCATACAACACACATACTTTAAAGACTATGAAAAAGAGAGGGAAGGAAGGAGGGAAAGGGGTAGGAGGGGAGGGAAGGAAGAGAGAGGGAGGAATGAGAAAGGGAGGGGGAAAATTCGGTTCCAGAATTTTGGATTTCTGCTTTTCTTTCCAGCTTTTTGTCACTGTCACATGATGCCTGTGACAGGCCAAATTTATTAAGAAGATTATTTTATTTACAATTTTGGAGGCCAGAAGTCCAAACAACATAGTGCAAACTCTGATGAGGACCTCCTGGCATGTGACAGGTGTTATTTGTGGGAGGAGGAAACTACATATAGAAAGCCAGAGAGGCGCTTAGGGGTCAGAGTCCATGTTTATAATACCCTGTTCTTGTTTGAATGCACTGGAAGGGACCAGTATTACCTTCCAAAGGCAGTACCTCAGTGACCCGTGACAATCCACTAAGCCCTATCTTTTTTTTTTTTTAATTGTGTGTGTTCCTGTGTATTCAGGTGCATATGTATGAGCAGGTTGTGTGCACATGTGTGTGGAGTTCTGAGAAAAGCTTGGGTGTTATCCTCAGGAACACACTCTACCTTCTCTGAGGCAGCATCTCTCCCTGGCTTAGAGCTCACCAATTAGACTGGGCTGGCTCCCAGCAAGCCCCAGGGCTCCTCTTGTCCCTGCCTCCCAGCACTGGATTTCAAGTGCTCAGTCTTCATGACTGCCTCGAATTCTGTTAAGTGTTAGATGATGAGCATCATTAGATGATTGGAAGATGAAGTATTCATGTCTTTTAATTGTCTTCTGAGAGTCATTTACTGTCAGCTGCAGTGGGTACTTCAGAGACTTGAAATACCTTAAGGTTCTTAGAATGTTTTACTGTATCTTTTCTTTGCCCTTAAGACAACTAAATATTTTGCAAATTTATTAGTAAAATGTCTTTGTTTGCTTGGTTACTATAAACAAGTACTATAGAGTTGGCTGTGGTGGTGCACACCTTTAGTCCCAGTACTTGGGAAGCAGAGGCAGGCGGATCTCTGAGTTTGATGCCAGCGTGGTCTATGTAGCGAGTTCCAGGCCATCCAGGGCTACAAGGTACCATAGACTTGATGACTTATGAGATGAACAGAAAGTCCAAGGTCAAGATGCGGGTATTCGTTACATATTTTCCTAGTGATTGCTGCAGAATCCACCCTTCTGTCTTCTGTGGTGTTGTGTCAGGAATGTTTGTGAATGCACGTGTTCACACCCTTTCAGGATTGGCTTTTCATCTGTGGCTCTCTGGCCATCCCCCAGATTGTTGGGTTTATCAGTAGCCCATACTCTTTATGGGTCACTGATGGCTACTGGACTGCAGTGCGGTCTTCTGTTAGTGGAACAGTTTGCCCACGAAGAACACTGGGCTTGTCTCTAGTTTTTGTCTCTTATGAATAAAACTGATAAAAATATTCAACTATGGGAGGGGCAGTGAGTAATTCACATTAATAGTCACATGTTTATATTTGTTTTACTGTCATCACAGGTTTTAATTGTGTAAGATAAATTATGCACTTTAAAAAATTCATTGAGTTATAGACTTTTGTGTGCTTTTTGGCAAGTTTGCTATACTTCAATAAAATATTTACTTAAAAATCAAATTTTCTTTTCCTTTTGGGGTTACTTAGGCTGGACTCAGATGCCGAGGACACAGTATGCCTTCAGATAGAAGACAGAGTTTGCAAAAGAAACAAGATAATAAGTATTTAGACCCTGGTCAGCCTCACAGAAGTGACCCAAATTCCGAGTCTTTATATTTTGAGGTATTATTTCAAATTCTGTTTTTATTTTTTATTTTTTTATATTTTATTTATTTTATTTTATGTGTACGAGTGTATTGTCTGCATGTATGTGAGTGCACCCGTGTCATGCAATGCAGCGGAGGTCAGGAGAGGGCTTCAGATTTCCCTGGAACTGGAGTTAAGGATGGCTTGTAGCCACCATATGGGTGCGGAAATCGAACCCAGGTCCTCTGCAAGACCACTGAGCCATCTCTCCAGCCCCATCAAATTCCGTTTTTAAACTTATAGAAAAAAAAGTTTTTGTTGATGTTAATCTGATACATTATAAATATTAGAAGAATTTTTATACCTTAACATTTACTCTACTATGAGACTATGTTACTTGGGAGTACTGACTCGTTTTTATGTTTTGGTTATATTTATACAGGCTAACATTAACTTCCTTAATGTTTGGTTTTTAACTTTTGTCACGTGCATTCATTTTGAGGTAATATATAGATGCAGAACTTTATGTAGACTTCAGTCTGAAACTTTTTCTCTTAATTTTTATTGTTTTTCAATTTATTTGTAAGGTTTTTGAGATTTACATAATTATTTCTGCTCCCTTTCAAGAGTGTCTTGGAGAAAGAAGAAATGACTATTTTATTGGCTCTGCTAGGCAGTTTGCGTCTTAATTGCACAGTGTTAATGTTCATCCCCCTAGCCAGCTCGAGCTAGTAGCTCATTACTGTAACAAGGTGCTGTGGGGGGAGGATAGCTGAATGTGGTTGCACTTGGCAGCAGAACAAGTCCCCTAGGAATGGCCTTAAAGAGTAAGAATTTGCTTGTTTCACCTGTGTAACTCACTTTTAGATTTTATAAAGTAGGTTTATGGATGAATAAACCAACTGGAATTCTTGAGGTTAGAGGGTAGAAATTAGTATGTTAGGTAAGCCTAGTAATTAACCCAAAGGACTTGAAAGTCATCTGCATCATCCTTCCGGTTTTAGAGCTCATCAGTTTTATAAATACGTAGATTTCTCTGCCATTACAGGTTCTAAGAATTGTGCTATTTATTTTTAAATTAACTTTAAGTAAAATTTGGAAATCATGAGTTAAGTATGGTGACTTACACCTGTAATTCCCAGCTCTCAGGAGGCTGAAGTTTAAGTTCAAGGCTAGCTTGGGCTACAGTGTAGACCCTGCCTCAAAAAACAAAACTGAGAATTAGGAAGTTAAAGTTCTTGTTTGAGAACATAAGAATGAACAATATTCTGTTAATATTGTAGTTTTACTGCTCTTTTGACAACAGTCCTGGGAAGACAGCTGTGTTACCTCAGTCTCACGAGTGAGTTTGCTGGGGTTTCCTCAGGATGAACCCAGGGCCTCATGCTTGCTGAGCAGGCACCCTGCCATTGACCTGTACTATCAGTGCCTGTTGTTTATTTATAAAACTGGTCTAAACCTGAAATGCCATCTGGATGTGTTGGTGCATGACTGTAGTCACAGCTACTAGGAAGACAGGTGGGAGTACCACATGCATCCCTGGGTTCAAGACTGTGTTTGTTGTTATTTATTTACTTTCTGTGTGTGTGTTGCATGCTCACGGGTTCCTACATGTGGAAACCAGAGGACAAAATTAGCTGTCTCCCAGGAGCCATGATTTTTTTGAGCAAAGATCTCATTGGCTTGGAGCTGACTGATTAGGCCAGGTGGGGGCCAGCGAGCCTCAGGAACTGCCTGTTTCTGCCTCCCCAGCACTGGGATTTCAGCACTGCCACCATCATCTTTAACATAGGTTCTAGGACTGCATCAGGTCCTTGGGCTGGCAAAGTAAGCACTGTACTGAGTAAGCCATCTCCCCAGCCCTGAGGGCCATTTTAAAACTGTTACAGCCTTCACTCTTTGACCAGATATTGTGGGCTTTATGTATAGTTTTTATTAATCTTGGAATTATCAGGCTGTCTTCACAGTTTGTGGGTTTTATAGAAATTGAACATTTTTTATGGTTGATATAGTTATTTCTATTCACTTCCTCCCTTTATCAAAAGTTAATTTTAATCTCAGGAAAAGAATAGTTTTATTATAAATATGAGTTTTATTATAGGCTCATAATTATGCAATTGGTTCCATACTTAAAGATATTAGATGTAATTTTCAGGAGGATATCAATTAAGAAATTAATCTGAAGAGAAAACGTTTTTAAATTGTATGTATAATAGGGCCAACAGGGAATAAATTAAAATCTTTTCCAAGTTATCTGAATGTGATAAAATCCAGTTTGAATTTTTCTCATCACCTACCCATCTTAGGGTAGAATTAGTAATAAAAATGGGAAAGTAGGTGCCCAAATCTAAAGGGTAGGTATATGTGGATATGACGTCATGCTTGAATAATTAATGATTTTAGTATGTAAACAATAAAATTTCCTTTTAAAAACTAATTTAAATGAACTCAACAGTTACACATTGTTACTTCCCTATTTTTCTGCACTGTCAGGCATCATAAAAAGTTTTTCCTGGCTGGGGATGTACCTCAGTTGCTAGAGTGTGTACCTAGCATGGGCAGGGCCCCAGGTTTGACACCCTGCAACACCCACCCACCCACACATACAGCCACACGCACACACACAGCCACACCCACACACACAGCCACACCCACACACACAGCCACACCCACACAACACGCACGCACATGCACGTGCACTCCGTGTGCATACACAGAAATTTTCTTAGGAGTTGTCCCGGAACTGTTTTCACTGAAAGTGTGAAACCATTCCAGGATGAAGATGGATTTCCAGAATTAACTGATAATGCAAATGCTAAAGATGAGAATATTCAACAGAAGCTTTCTTCAAAAGTAGTAAGTGACTCTTTTCAAAATGATTAGAAAAATACAACAGCCTTTGAACTGTGTCTAAGTGAGAAGAAATGTTAAAGACTGGAATAAAGGCACGGGCAGCGTGGCGTACAGGAGACAGTATGTTCGGTGTATTTTAATACTTCCTTTAAAAACATCTCTCTTACAGTTTTATTTACTTATTTTTTAATGAACGTGTGTGTGTGTGTTGGGGGAAGGTGCTCATGTGCCACGGCATGCTTACGGAGGTCAGAGCACAACTTGCAGGAGTCTGTTCTCTCCTTCCATTGTGTGGGTCCCAGGGGCTGAATCGGGTCTTGAGGCTTAGTGACAGATACCTTTATCTGCTGAGCCCTCTCACCAGCCCTGATATTTCTTTTTAACAAACAAAATACTTTCCTAGGAAATCCACAGTTCTGTTACTAGTTCTGTTACTTAAACGTCATGTAGTATATGGTCTATAGAAATTTTCCCAGTAGTTGCAGAAGTGTACTGTTTTCCCCAGACAAGCGTCACCTATTACGTCCTGCTGTTTTGTTCCTTTTTTTCCATTCTAAAATGGTCTTCGTGCCTCACTCTGTTCTTTATAATGTTGCAACTTCTGATGAGTCTAGTTCTGGTGTCCTGCAGAACAGCCCTGATTCTGGTTGTCTTTCCTTACGATTTAACTTTTTTTTTTTTTGGTCTTTTTGAGACAGGGTCTCCCTGTAGCCCCAGCTGGCCTGGAACTCACTATGTAGACCAGGCTGGCCTTGAACTCACAGAGATCCGCCTGCCTCTGCCTCCCCAGTACTGGGATTAAAGGCATGCGCCACCACGCCCTGCACGATTTAACTTTTATGAAGTGACTAACAAATGTTTTTTTTCTGGTTATTATAGTTGGATGATTTACCTGAAAATTCGCCCATCAATATAGTTCAGACTCCAATTCCCATTACCACCTCAGTTCCTAAACGTGCAAAAAGTCAAAAGAAGAAGGCATTAGCTGCCGCCCTTGCCACTGCTCAAGAATACTCAGAAATAAGTATGGAGCAGAAAAAGTTGCAGGTGTGCGGTCATCGTTACACTCAGTTGTGATGGTTTGTCTGCTGGGCTTTGTGGGCTGCACAGGAGTGCTGAGTGTAATTGTAACGTCACAAACAATAAATGTTTTCTTTTCTATCTTTTTAGGAAGCTTTATCAAAGGCAGCTGGAAAAAAGAATAAAACTCCTGTGCAGCTTGACTTAGGGGACATGTTAGCTGCACTGGAGAAACAGCAACAAGCAATGAAAGCCCGGCAGGTCACTAACACCAGACCTCTGTCATACACAGGTGATGGCCAGTCTGAACTGTTGGTGTTGGTAATCTATCTTGGATATTGTTAATCTGTGTGTGTGTGTGTGTGTGTGTGTGTGTGTTTGTGTCTGTATATGTATTTTTCCCCCAGTGCTGGGGCTTAAGCCCAAGGCCTTGTGTCTTGTGTACACTAAGCAAGCGCCATACCACTGAACTACACCTTCAACCCTACAATTCTGATCGATTTAGCAAATGTTACTCTAAACAAATGTAAATTTCTCCATGCAGAACATGCTATCAGGAACCATTGGGATCATAGAGATGATGAGGATAGATATGTTCAAGAGGTCTGTAGTCCAGTGGTGAGGGATAGTAATGCCTACGAAAGGTACTGGTGTGTTCTAGGAGCCTCAGAAGGGAGCAATAAGAGAAAGGTGTGACCACATGACTTCATGTAAGACAGAATTTGAACTGGGCTTTGAGGCAGGAGTAGAGTTCCTGACAATTAGAAATGAGACTGACTTCTGTCACCAGTCTTTAGATGCAAAGTTTTGATTACAAAGAAAGCTATTGATTACAAAGAAAGCTACTGGGAAATTGAAGAAAAGAATGAGAGGATGGGAGGGACTGTAAAAATGGTAAGGAATTGATAGAGTTTCCAACAGCAGGATGTAGAAGTGAGTCAGGAATGACACCAGGGGCTGGGGAGATGATTCAGCGACTGGGACAAGAGAGTGAGCCACCTCAGCTGGAAGGCAAGGGAGGCAGGCTGGCCGAGGGCTTGCTGATTTGCCTCCTTACCTCCTGTCTTTTAGGTGGAAGAGCGCTTATTGGGGGGTGTGGTCAGAGATTGGGGTGGAGCCTAAACCAGACAAGGCCTGTGAAAAAGAACCAAGATGTGAGGGACTCTGCAGAACCTGTGACCATGATGTCTGTTTTCCTCACAGGAAGAGGATTCTCTTGTTTTCGAAGATTTATCATTGGAAAATTTCAAAGCATGTGGATTTGGCTACAATAGTAAAAGTAATCTTCCTTCTTGTTTTTAGTGGTCACTGCAGCTTCTTTTAACACGAAAGACTCTGCTAACAGGAAACCTCTAACCAAAAGTCAACCCTGTTTGACATGCTTTAATTCTCTGGACATTTCTGCCTCTAAAGTGAAAAAAGGAAAAGAGAAGGAAATTGCAAAACTGAAACGGCCCACAGCACTCAAGAAGGTAACATATGTGGACGTGTCTATTTTACAGGGTAACAAGGATTCAAAGCTTTTGCAAAGTTGTGGTTTGAACCAGCACGTTATGGCAAAGTGCTCACACATTCACATCTATATGATGACTGATTAAATCAAAACCAATATATGACTGTCTTCTGTGTGGAAGAAGGCCCTGCAGACTGAATTTTTCTATAGGATTTAGAAAGTGAAACAGCTGAACATTCTATATCCTGAAGCATTAGACCCACCCTAGGAATCAGCAGTCCAGACCTTTCTTCCTTTCCTTTTTTTTCTTGAGAGAGAGAGAGAGAGAGAGAGAGAGAGAGAGAGAGAGATTGCATATGTATGGGTGCACATGTGTTGGTATGTATCCATGTCTGGACATGCATGTAGTCCCTGAGGTCCATAATTGGAGTCTTCCTCAGCCACTCTTCACCTTGTTTTTAGAGGAAGGATCTCTCAGTTGAAGCCAGAGCTCACTGTTATGGCTAGTCAGGTAGCCAGCTTGCTCTGTCTTCTGTCTGCCTTCTATACCCTGAAGTTACAGATGGGCCATCACGCACACCTGGCATTTACATGCGTTCAGGGGGAACTGAATACTGTGCTTTCTCAGCAAGCCCTTTACGCACTGAGCCATCTCCCCAGCCTTGCCTGCCTTCTTCCTTCCTCTGTTTCCTTCTCCTCCTACTGGGCAGCTTTAGTGTCAACTTGACACTCCTGGGTTGAGGGAGCCTCAATTGGGGAATTGCCTCCAGAGCAATCTTTTGATTGTTGAGTGATGTGGGAGGGCCCAGCCCACTGTGGGTGGTGCCACCCCTGGGCAGGTGGGCCTGTGTTGCATAAGAAAGCAGGCTGAGCAGGGGCCAGGGGAGCAAGTCAGTAAGCAGCGTTCCTCCATGGCCTGTGCTCCAGCTCCTGCCTCCAGGTTCCTGCCCTGAGTTCCTACCTTGGGCTCCCTGATGAACTGTGACCCGGGAGATGTAAGACAAATAAACCCTTTCTCCCCAAGTTGGTAGTGGTCAGTGTTTTGTCACAGCAATGGAGAACAAACTAGGACACTCCTCTTGGTTCTTTTCCCTCCTTCCCTCTTTCCCCCTCTCTCTCTTTTTTCTTTCCCCCCTGCTCTTCTCTTCCTCCTCTCCTCTGTCCAATGCTGGGGATCTAACCCAAGACCTCACACATTCCAGACAAGCATTCTGGCTCTCAGACAGACCGCCCTGGATCTTAGTATTTACTTCAGTGCTAGTTATGTGTATAGTTGTAGGCCCACTTTAACCCTCATCCCCCTAACCTAAGATTAAAGATAATATCTGCTTTGGTTAACTCAGTTATAATTAGAGGGTCAGAATGAGGTATTCCATGTCTAAGTAACTGAAAGCTGGGAAGTGTAAACAGATGCACTGTGTGAACTGGTTTCCAAACTTAGTGTTCTGGGAACTCTAGTTGGGTCATCCAGGATTTAGACTGAGGCAGTTGGTGTGCTCGGCTGTCACTCTAGCAGACCGGCCTCCGTTTTGGTTTTGTGCAGCATTTCCTTTCAGCTTTACAGTGCCTGAAATTATATTGACTTCTTACTGGTCAGTTTCTATGTTGCCAAATAACACAGCCAGCTGAAATCCTCATATCTGTACCATTCTGTGTTTTAGTGTAGATTGGAATCATTCGTACCTAGTTGAAGAATGAGCAGTAATTAAAAACTGGTGTAATGATTTTTAGGTGATTTTGAAAGAGAGAGAGGAGAAGAAGGGACGTTTAACTGTGGACCACAATGTTCTGGGATCTGAGGAGCCAACAGAAACACATTTAGATTTTGTTGATGGTTTGCCACAGGAGATTGTGTCCCAGGAAGGTAAGGGTGTGTCCCTCTTGCGGCAGTCTGGAGGGTTCATTGAAGGTGAGCTGCCATAGCTGTGCTTTGAAGTGCAAGATGTGCTCTGTATTTTGTATGAATTTATTTTTGAGGGTGGTTTCTTTTGAAGATGCTTTGGAAGCAGATGGCTGAGAGGGTGGGCAGATGTTATGTAGTAGGTCTCTGACATTTTTGAAACCTAAATACATAATTGTAGTATCTCTTCAAAATTAAGATCTTACCAGTGCATGAAATTACTTCTGGAACTTTTAGGATAACTTTTCATTTTATCTTCTTTCATATCTCAAACTCTACTTACTGGTTATTTTTCTTCATAGGGCTATTTTTCATGAAATAATTTTTATTGATTTCCTTTTTTGCTTTTGGGGAAATAATAGATATGTACAAAGAGTAGAGAATTGCAAAGCAGAGCCCAGTTGCTCAGTAAGATTCCGTTCTTGGCCAGCGTGTGATTCCAGCAAGTAGATCGGTCCCGTCTAGTCCCACACAGAAGATTTTGTGACATGTTAGATCTCATTTGCTCTTAGGTTAAGCAGAACCTAGAACATGGTTAGTTAGAGTTCCCTTTTATTCTCAGTTTAATCTGATTCCCTTGGTATTTATGTGTATTCATTCATTCATTCATTCAGCCAGTGTTTACCAAATACCTGTCAAATGCATTCTAGTATGTAGTGGAAGTAAGGAGGTTGGAAATAAAGGAGTGATGTAGTGAGCAAAGACTCTTGTCAGTGAGTTTATTATCTTAATAGACAGACAGGACTGATGTGCACCTTTGCTAATTACAGATCTGAATATACAAATGTGTGTATTTCTTGAGTTGCATCATGTAGGGAAGAAACAATAACTGAACGAAGCAGTAGCGTCAAGAGCTGGCATCTAAAATATGGCTCCCTAGCACAGAAACGAAGGTCGTGTGAGGTGTGCGACATGGAGAGTCAGGGAATCTGCAGGTGTGGGGTGTGGAGAGTCGGGGAATAAATGATAAAGGATTGTTATTACTGGCGCCTTTCATAATTTTAAAAAGAGATTTCTAAGAAGTAGGTGACAGAGTAGAGATGAGTAGAAGTATGGAGAGGCACAGATCTCGGCTTCAGATCCTTGAGATAATTGGAACTTTTAGTCCATGCTTGATTTTTTTTTTTTTTGAGTATATTGTAATTGATAGTAGGAAGACTTCATTCCTGTAGTTTGACCCAGGAGATAACTGTCCTCTAAATTGTGTGGATCAGTGTAGAGCTTTACAGCTTCTGAAGTCTCTAAGTTCTTTCCCTTCACCCCATATCCACAGATACTGGACTGAGCATGCCTAGTGATGCTTCACTTTCTCCAGCAAGTCAGAACTCTCCATACTGTATGACACCTGTGTCACAAGGCTCTCCTGCTAGTTCTGGGATAGGCAGTCCAATGGCGTCTTCGACAATAACCAAAATCCATAGCAAAAGGTTCCGAGAGTAAGTTTTTTTCTCGTGTTGAAGTCAAATAATTTAAGTATTTTGATCATTGTTCTGAATTTAGTATCATTATTGTTATTTACTAAGCTGTGCAGTTGAAATGTGAAAGATCTGTAAGATCTTTCCAATTTGGTTAACAGCTGGCTTTTTTTAAAGCAGTCCCTCTGTCAGTATCCATGGAACGGGATTTCACAGTCAATGTGTTCTTCTCATGCAGAGTTTCTGTCCTAGAATCTTGTTCTCTTATGTCCTGTGTATATTATGTATATCGTGTGTATGTATGTGTATTTTGTATGTGTGCATATATAATATTATGTACTATGAGTTTTGCCCCTCCAAATATTTAAGGTTTTTTGCATGTAATAAAGGCAGTTTAAAAATCTTCATTGTTACTCAGGTAAGAGCCTGTAGTAGGGTTCTTTGTCTGAGACCCTGAATCTATTACATAAAGCCATGTGACTTTTTGTTTGGTGATGTTTGTTTTTGTAGTCTTAGAAATAGAATCCAGGGCCTTGTGCATCCTCATCAAGTGTCTGACCACTGAGATAGATGCTCAACCCAAGCTGTTTGCTTTTAAGATATTTAGAGAATCACAAAATATGGTACCCTGTCTGTGAATAACCTTAAATTAGCAGTTACTGCTATGGAGTACTTTAATATTTGTGTACTTGAAGTAGGTTTACCATTGAAAATGATATGAGAAACTCATGTTGTGAAAGTTTAGTCTGTGAGAGTCTGAACCATCATTGTTTGGTTCTGTTCCTTTCCCTTGTTTCTGTTGTTTTTGAACAAATACTTCTCTCCGCGCTTTGAGAAGTTGATTAAATGTCAAACAACAGATGTGGAGCAAATGCAGCAGTGCAGAAATAAAATGTTACACATGCATGAAGTGAACAGCTTGAAAGAGTGAAGAAAATTGTAGTTTTGATAGCCCGTTCTTTAATTTTGAGTATTTTAGGACAGTTAATCTTCCCTCAATCTACCCATTTCTGTCTTCTAAAATCGTGTCATACTTGTTTAAAGATTTTTCACATAAAACATAAAATTCTCAATACATTTTTTTCAGGCCAAGGTTTTCCCTGTGTAACAGACAGTTTCTTGCTTAGTTTTTACTAGATGACATAGATGTTCTGGAATTGTTCTTGATAAATACCTGCTTCCAGTAGAAGTGAGTAATGAGAATCAGAAAAGGTGGAAGGTGTATAAAAGCACACCTGATGACTTCCTGTTGGAGTTAAGTGCAGTAGTGACCTCACACTTCCTTTGTTTTCCTCGTCAACACATCACAGCCATACATGATCTGACATCCTCACTCAGTTGCTTTGTTTGATATAAAAGCCTGTGACTTTCTAGTTTTGTCTCAGTTTCACTGTTGAGTTCATCCTCCATAACCAAAGATTTTAAGAACTGAAAGGGCCATTGGGGCCATCCTACCCAATGTATTTTTATGGTTGAGAGATGCTTTTCATGGCTAAGGCTTATCCAAGCTGAGAGGATGAGTGTTTTTATTGTTTGTTTCAGAGTTCTTAGGATGTTCTACAATCCCTTTTTCCTCCTCTTTCAAGAAGAAAACAGATTTATTGAGCACACTGCCAGGATCAGCAGGCCGTGTGGTAATAAGAGTGCTGCCCACAGTCCTGTTTTTCTTTTTCCAGTTAGCACACAAAGGGAAGGGTTTCACTGTGGCATTTTCACACATTGTGCTTATTCATGCCCCTCTTCTCCCTCTTCCTGCACTGTCCTTTTCATGCTGCTTCCCTTTTCAAAAACCCTCCCTTCCCCTTTATATAACTTGTGTTCCTTAATCTCTTTCCCCCTCATCCCTCTCCCTTAAGATCTAGTCCTGTCTTTACAAGATCCCTTTTCTACTTTCATGACTCTTGTGTGTACTCACATGCCACACACGTGTGCACATGCACACACATACAAATTTAAATCTATATTCTGCATATGAAAAAAAACATGCAGTATTTATCTGTCTGGCTTATTTCACTTAATTTCTAGTTACAATCATTATCTTACAAATGTCACGATTTTATTTTTCTTTGCAGTAAAATACAGTTCCATTATATGTATTCATCAATTTCCTTTATCCATTCATCTGTTGATGGACATCTAGACTGGTTCCACTTCTTAGCAGCAATGAACATGGGTACATACATATCCCTTGAGATACTAGCTTAGGGTTCTTTGGGTTTGTACACAGGAGCAGTCTAGCTGAGTCCTGTGGCAGTTTTGACTTGTGTGATGGCTGCAGCAGTTTATAATGTCATTAACAGTGTTAGAGGATGCCTGTCTGTTATTAGGATATTCTGAGAAAAGTTATCTATCTTTCTTACTACAAGCGTTTTTATATTTTTCAGAATGAACATAATTTTATATCCTTTTAAAAAATGTTTCTTTTACCAAACTGACCTTAATTTATGTCTTTGAATATTTTATTTATTATTTTAATTTTTTAAATGTGTTTGAGTATATTGCCTGCATGTTTACCACGTGTATGCAGTGCCCACAGAGGCCAGAAGAGTGTGTTAGATCCCCAGAACTGGAGTTACAAAAGGTTGTTAGCTGCCACGTGGGTGCTGGGAATCAAACTTGGGTCCTCTGGAAGAATAGCAAGTGCTCTTAAGCACTGAGCTATCTCTCCAGATTTATGTCTTTAGAAATTGAGAGTTCAGTAGGTGTACCCTGAGGTAGCGTATCTTTGAAAGCTCATTGTTGACATTCACAGGCAAAGGTCCTTTTTCTAATGGAAATGTTCAGAAGTCTTAGAGACATTTCATTGAAACATTTTGTTGAATGCATTCTCTCTCAAACATTTCCCTAATTTGATTTTAAAATTATAGGAAAATAAATTCAGAAGGCATTCCTTGTCTTTTGCATCCTTTACAGATATTGTAATCAGGTTCTTTCTAAAGAAATTGATGAATGTGTGACCGTTCTTCTCCAAGAGCTTGTCAGTTTCCAGGAGCGCACCTACCAAAAGGACCCTGTGAGAGCCAAAGCCAGACGGCGCTTGGTCATGGGACTGAGGGAGGTCACCAAGCACATGAAGTCAAACAAGATCAAGTGTGTCATCATTTCCCCAAATTGTGAAAAAATACAGTCAAAAGGTATGTACTCTTCGCTTTAGAGATGGTTTGCCATTCACTGTTATCATTGTAAGGTATTTACTTTTTTAAAGTGGAAGTTATCCTCTCTGTACTAGATAGTTATAAAACAAAATGTTGAACATGAGAAAGGGAAATGAAATCCTTCAGTACCCAAAATTAAGATGATTAAGACTGGATTCTAAAGGAAATTCTTGTGTGTAGACCTGGCAGAGGGCTTCCATCAGGCCCACTGGGTGTCTCCTTGGTGTAATCACACTAGGAACTTGTCAGGGTGTGTTATCCTGCTTTTAAAACTTCATGTAACCTTCCTCTGATGATCTCCTCCACCTTGAAAAAAAAAATAGAAAAAACATAAAGGCCACAGCTTCTACTTAGGGTAGAGATCTGTTTCTCAGGAGCCAGCAGTGACACAGAGGCCCTTGGGTAAGCCAGCCACAAATGCACTGTGTGCCATGCAGCCTTGTTTGCCATTGATGGTGATGGAGCCACTTGATGAGGATTAGAGGAGACAGATGGGGTTGGGCAGCACCCTTAGACAGCCATATGAGGTTAACACAGCAAACAGGTGCACTCATCTGCCTCACTGTGTTGGGACCAGTCACTACTTCAGCTTCAAGATTGTGAAAAAAGAGTTAGCTACTGTTAACAAGTTCAGGTAATTTCTTCATAATAAATGTTAGATTGAAATGTATCCCTGCTTTGCTAATTCCTGTGGAGGAACAAAGCTACTGGGTTTCAAGGGATATGGAATTTGATTGATGAAAAAGAAAGTTACATACTGTAATATAATATGTGTGTGTAATATAAATTCAGGTATGCCAGTTCTGTGCTGCAGTGGTCTGCATTTTAGCTAGATTAGCTCTGTTAGGAAGTAACTAAATGGAAACATCTACATGTATTGATTTTTCTCAGGTGGCTTGGATGAGGCTCTCTATAATGTTATAGCTATGGCCCGGGAACAAGAAATTCCTTTTGTGTTTGCCCTTGGAAGAAAAGCTCTAGGACGCTGTGTGAACAAGCTGGTTCCTGTTAGTGTAGTGGGAATCTTCAACTATTTTGGTGCTGAGGTAAGAATTTAGGAGATAAGGCTGGGAAGATAGCTCAGTCAATAAAGTGCCTGTGAATACAAGCATGAGGAGCTTCATTTTGATTCCCAAACCCAGGTGAAAAGCTGGGCATGGTGGTGTGCACGTGTAATCACAGTGCTGGGAAGTCACAGACAGATGGGTCCCCAGGGCCTGCTGCCCAGCCAGCCTACCAGACCTTGGAGAGACTCTGTCCCAGAAAATAAGGTAGACAGCTCCTGAGGAACAACACCTGCCGTTGACCTCTAGCCTATACCTACACACATACATACACATAAGCACACATAATCAAACTCACATACACCAGACACACCATACTCCACATCATAAATGTACACACACCACATATACATAAGCATACACACATACACATGACACACATACCATACTACATCCCCCCACAAAAATCACACACATCACACATATCATAAGCATACACAATTACCACACAGACCACACATACTATAAACATACACATATACCACATACACCAATACATACACCAAACTCATACACACATAAACACACATATACTATACCACACACCCACATACCACATACTACACACACACACACACACCCACTACACACATATGCCATATATATATATATATATAAACACCACCCCCACCCCCATACACCACACAGGCAAACATATACACACCCCACTACACACATATCCCCTCATTCCCCACATACATACACATCACATACTCACGTGTGCACACTAATTTGGGAGGAATTCTCTTGCTTTCCCGTTCTCCCCAATAGCACATTGTTAACACCAGCCAGTACATTTAGCTAAGTTAATGACTCAAAGAATTGGTTCAAATTCTTAAGTGTAACATTCCTTTTTAGTGATAAAAACATTTGTATACATTAATCCTACTGCCCGTTGAAAGGCTTTACTTTCTATTTGTGACAAAATATCTTTTCCTTCAGGGCACAACTGTACAATTCTTGATAATTTATTTTATTGCCAATTGATGATATCTAATATTAAATAAAATGAAATAATTTCTTCAGTCTCTATTTGATGGATATATTTGGTGTATAAGGAATCAATAATTCCATACCCACTGTACCATCACCTCTGCCAGCCTGCTGATACAGATCTTGGTGTAGAAACTTATGAAGGTTATTAATTTAGAGTGATGCTAATCAACTAATGGTGGTTTAAGACCATTTTTTTTGTTTTGTTTTGAGACAAGGTCTCTAACTCAGACTGGCTTCTAGCTCACTATGTTTCTAGGAGTCACCTTGAACTTCTGACCCTCCACCTTCACCACCCAAGTAGATTACAGGTGTGCACCTCCATGCCCAATTCATATGGTGCTGGCAATCAAACCCAGGGCTCATGCATGCTAGACAAGCACTCTACCAGCTGAGCCATGTCTCAACCTAGGACTTTGTAATGAGGTTGATGCTAAAGCACTTTGTAATATCATGGATAGACTGTTTCCTCTCTTCCCAAGCACGCTGTATCTCCCTTACTGTCCAGGTACCTCATTTACATCCTCTCATCCATTTCCTGTCCATTCAGCCTCTCTTACATCACCCATGAAATGATTTGCAATCTAATGTTAGTTAGAACACAAATACTACAAATTCATGAAGAGAATAGTATTTGTGTTCTAACTAACAGCTTGTTTTTCAGTTATAGATTGTTAAACTGCTTTGCTGCAGGTTATTTCTTCCCATTTAACTTGGAATTCTTTGGAGGTAGGTCCTGTGTCTTTATAACCCTGAATGACCTCTCACATCACTTAAGCATCAGCTGGTGATAAGCTTTAATTGAATGAATCTGCTTCTGTGTGCATCCACCTGTGTTAAACTGTGTGCGAGAATTGGGTGAAGAATACTTCTGTGGAAAAGAAGGGTCATATACGGACACCTAATAAAAATGTATTATTCTTTTTTCAGTCAAAGGAATGAACTCGGTCCAGAAATGTGGACATGTTTGTTTTCAGTTGTATTGCTTTCTTCATGAATTATGTATTTCTTATTGTGATATTATAAAATATTTGCCAACTTCATTTACATATCAATTTCACTTGCCCTCTACTATATTGAGGTCAATAAATTTTATTTAAAATGAAAATATACTCGGGGCTGGAGCGATGGCTCAGCAGCTAAGAACACTTGCTGTTCTTCCAGAAGACCTGGATTCAATACCCAACACCCACGTGGCAGCTAACATCTGTCCGTAACTCCAGTTCCAAGGGATCCGACGCCCTTTTCTGGCCTCTGCAGCCTTTGCACAACGTAGGTGCACTTACATACCTGCAGGCAATACACTCATACATATAAAATAGAAATAATAAATAAAACACTTTAAAAATAAAAAAAGAAAATATACTCTTAAATGGAAATTTTAAAAATATGTATTGTTAAATACAGCTGTATTGATGTGGTAGTGACCTAAGTTGTTATCATCTGCTAATGTTAACCTTTGAATTCAACTTCCCATCTCTGTCCTCATATTCAAGCCCTTTATCCTCTGGTCCTGGCTTCTCTCTTCAATATTTTCTTCTCTTCCCTTCTCTTCCATACTTTTATTTCTAACAACTTCTGTTTTATTTGTATCATAACATCAATGTTAATACCAAAATCATATCTACATGCCTATTTTCCTTTTACTGATTTTATTTAAATGCATGATTTTTTAAACATAACAGGAGAGTTTGTCATTGTATGTAACACAGCGGGGTTGCTTTTAACCATCCTTCCTCTATAAAAAGCAAATCCTACACACATTTGATACTAACATGATTGATGTTAGTCCTCACCCACTGAGGACTCATGCTCATGCACAGTTAGCAGCAGCACTTATTGCTTTGGTCCTTTACACACTGAGCTACCCCTGGATAAAAAGCATTTCTTTCTTCAGGTCAGTGTGGAGGGCTAGGTTCAATAACAATGGGGCTCTTTTTACTATTCCACCTTGTGAAAATTTGCACATAAATGTCACTTGCCTCGTTCAGAATAAAAGAAACTGTGCTATACTTCCCTCATTGTCTGAAAACACAATTTTATGTATAAAATTAAGCATGTTTTTATGTTGCGCCATGTTTACCAGTTGAAATTCTCTATGCTGTATGTTTTGTTATGTTGTTAACACATTTTTTAGGAGCTGAGGTTTTGGAATTATGACCTGGGAACTCCTAGGAGCCACTAGCTTGTCATATGCTGGTCTTCTCTGATGGCTGAGGACAACCTTAGATAGAGCCATTGAGGTACAGCTTTAATGCTGTGCAAATATGGCCATTTATTAAATACAAGTATGTCCTGTGCACACTCCATTCCACTGCAGTGCTTGCTTCATTCATGCTGACTTCTGTTTCACTGACGGAGGAAGTTTGGTTAATTAGCTCTACTCTATGTCCATGCTCTGTGTTCTCTTTTTATAATTTGCCTTTGGCCCAGTAATTATACTTGCCTATTACTTGCCATATTTTCATCATCTTGAAGGCCTTATATCTATATCTCACTGACTTCATTTTTAGCCTTTTTTCCAGTTCTTCCCAACATGTGACCATTACAGCTGCATCCTTAAATGAACATGTGCTCATTCACTCATTCTAATCCAAGTATGATGTGTCACTGCCCCCATGCCAGCCTTGTGTGCTTCTTGTATCTACCTTTATTCATGGTTCTGCATGCTGGGCTAATTTAAACAGCTCTTTTCACTGCCCTCTTGACCTCTCAGCTACACCTGTTCAAGTCCTGATCAGATGAAATCTTCCTTATTGAATTCCACGGTAATGCACTAAGTTAGATCAGTGTCTCCTAAAAGACACAAGATTTTTTTCCTCTAAGGCATTTAAGGTGCTAGGCCTTCAGCTATAACTGACTCCTGTCTTCTCCTGTCATGTACAAGTTTCTGCATGAGGGGAGTTGCTGTTCCAGTTGTTAATTCTCTGTGGTGCCAGACGAGAGTAGAGTCATTTGTTGAACCTTTAATGTAGCACATTTAGAGGCTAGAGTTAGAGTCAAGAAATTGCCTCAAACTTAGAAAAATTAAATAGAGCAACTATATACATTAAGTGTTGGGTTTTTTTGTTGTTGCTTTTTGTTGTTTTTTAAGATTCTGTGGTTGCCATACTGTTTGGATTTCATCCAGACTGAAAATACAAGAAGTATAGTAAAAAATTTGACTAATCACAGCAGACTCTCTGTCTTTTTAGAACCTATTTAATAAGTTAGTAGAACTCACCGAGGAAGCCAGGAAAGCATATAAGGATATGGTTGCGGCAATGGAGCAAGAGCAAGCGGAGGAAGCCTTGAAGAATGTGAAGAAGGTGCCACATCATATGGGGCACTCTCGGAACCCCTCTGCAGCAAGTGCCATTTCTTTCTGCAGTGTGATTTCCGAGCCCATCTCTGAAGTAAACGAAAAGGAGTATGGTAAGTTACTGCATACTCTTTGAAATGAAGTAATTCGTCATTAATATCAGTTTGTACATAACTTTCTGTTCTACTTCTTGCTTGTTTTTCTTTTTGTTGTTGTTGAGACAGAGTCTCATGTATCCCAGACTGGCCTTGAACTCACTGTGTAGGTGAAGATGACCTTGAACTTCTGAGCCTCCTGCCTTACATTCCCAAGTGCTGAGGTTACAGGTGTGTGGTGCTGAGGATTCTTCCCAAGGCTTCATGCATACTAAGTAAATACTCTACCAACTGAGCCATATCCCCAGCCCACATACCCTTATTCTGATTATCCAAGTTTTACTAAAATTTTGGCTTAAAAATTCATTTAAACATGGACATTAAAAAAATAGAATATTTTTGGGAGCTAGAGAGCTGGCTCAGTAGTTAAGAGCACTAGCTGCACTTGCAGAGGCCCCAGGTTCAATTCCCAGTGCCCACATGGCAGCTAACAACTGTCCTGTAACTCCAGTTCCAGGGGGTCCAACACCCTTGTCTTACCTCCTCAGGCATTGTACTACACAGGTGCACTTACACACATGCAGGCAATGCACTCATGCACATAAAATCAAAATAACAAAATATTTTTTTTAAATGGAGTATGTGAGACTGAGACCGTCTTTAAGACTATGGAATTCAATCACAATTCCAAAAACTTTAAGAAAAAGCCCAAGATGATCTAAAGAACAAAATGCACCACACCTGTGACCCACCACTAAATAAATAATAGACCTGTGACATTTGCTTTGCATTGCATGTGATTCTAGTCAGAAAGAAGTGCAGACTAAAAATAGCACTGGTGTTTAATGCGCAGCATCCCTTACCACAGCCTGCACTGGAGGTTCCGAGGTTTCTGCAATAGTTTGAACTGACTTATATTTCCCATCTTTTTTAGTGTAGTGTCGTAGTTATTTTTCTTGTTCCTATGATAAAAACACTGAACAAGAAGCAACTTAAGGGAGGAAAGATTTACTTTGGCTTACAATTCAAGGGACATAGTCCATCGTGGAGGGGAGGTCATGGCAGCAGGAGTATTATTAGGTGGCTGGTCACATCGCACCACAGTCAGGATGAGGGGGATGAATGCTGGCTCAGCTAGCTTTCTCCTTTTCATTTAGTACAGGACTCCAGCCTGTGGAATGATGCCACCACAGTCAGGGTGGGTCTTCCCTCTTCAGTCAGTCTAATCTAGGTAATCCTTCACAGATGAGCTCAGAGGATTACGGATCCTGTCAAGTTGCAATATTAACTGTCACATACAGCAACCTCCTGTTTTGGCTCCTTTTTTTTTTTTTTTTTTCATTTTAATCTTATCAGGGAATTTATCAAATAGCTTGTTGCCTCCTAAAATTTAAACTGTAAGAAACTCTTTTTCCTGGCTTCCTTGTCTGTGTTTGTGTTGAAGAATTTGTAATGCTTTTTGATAAAGCTACAGACCTTTAAGAAGTTGTCTGCCTTTGAGAAATTATTATTTGTCATTGCGGCTGGAGAGAAGGCTCAGTGGTAGAAGGGCGACTGCTCTTATAAAAGATCCAGGCTTGGTTCCCGGCACCAACATGGCAGCTCACAACCACCTGTAACTCGGGTTTCAGAGGCTCTGAAGCCCTCCTCTGACCTTCCTCAGCTCTTACATGCATGTAATGCACATACATACACTCAGGCACATACACATAAAGTCAAATAAATACGTGATTTTAAAGTAACTATTGGTTATGAACATGGTAGCAAACACTTTAAATCCTAGCACTCAAGAGGCAGAGGCAGGCAGATCTTTGTGAGATCAAGGCCAGTCTGGTCTACATAGGGAGTTCCAGGCCCAGCCAGAGCCACATAGTGAAATCCTGTCTCAAAAATGAAAAAGAAAATATTGGTCATAGGCAAGTGTTACTGCCTAGAAGTAAACATGTTTGTATTGCTGGAATGATAGCTTGTTGAACGTAAAGAAAATAAAGTGCTACATCTGTAGGTAGGGTTTACTCTGTGTATGTGAAATGCTAAATTTCAAAAGTGGACTGCAAGATTAATCCATAAATATGTATTGGTTTAGGCAAATGGTAGAGTGATAAATGATCTTCATATGGGCATATCTGAGGAAAAATATTAGAGCTGGCTGTGGTGGTGCACGTCTTTGATCCCAGCACTGGGAGGCAGAGGAAGGCAAATCTCTTGAGTTTGAGGCCAGCCTGGTCTACATAGCGAGTTCTAGGCCAACTGGGGCTGCAAGGAGACCCTGTCTCAAAAAGACCAAAAGAGGGGCTGGAGAGATGGCTCAGTGGTTAAGAGCACTGACTGCTCTTGCAGAGGACCCGGGTTCGATTCCCAGCACCCACATGGCGGCTATGAACTGTCCTTAACTCCAGTTCCAGGGGAATCCGAAGCCCTCTTCTGATCTCCGCAGCATTGCACGACACGGGTGCACTCACATGCATGTAGGCAATACATTCATACACATAAAATTTAAAAAATTCTTTAAAAGGCTCTGAGATCAAGCACCATTGTTCAGTGTTTTTAATCATAGCAGTGAGAAAAGTAACTAAGACACTACAGTGAAAAGGTCGGAGAAATAAAAACTAGTTCAAACTATTGCAGAAGTGAGGCTCGGAACCTCCAGTGCAGGCTGTGGTAAGGGACACTGCGCATTAAACACCAGTGCTATTTTCAGTCTGCACTTCTTTCTGACTAGAATCACAGGCAATGCAAAGCAAATGTCACAGGTCTATTATTTATTTAGTGGTGGGTCACAGGTGTGGTGCATTTTGCTCTTTAGATCATCTTGGGCTTTTTCTTATGGTGTTCAAGGAGGGAGGCCTTGGTTTTTAAGAAACTGATGTATAATTAAACACTGGACCTCTCTTTATGAAAAGATTGTCAAAACAAAATGTAAACTTTGCTCTAAAGCTTTTTTATAATTAAATGTGTGAAATAATTTTCATATAGCTTTTATTATTATTAAAAAATTATTATTCTGTATGTGTCCACTTGTACATGTATATATGCATGTGAATGTGTGCACATGTACTTGTGGTGGCACGTGTGTGCCACAGCATGCCTGTGGAGTTTAGAGGACAACTTCATGGAGTTGATTCTCTCCTTCCCTTTTTATGTGGGTTTAGGGGAAGGAACTCAGTTTACCAGGCTTGTGCAGCAAGTGCCTTTGCCCTCTGAGCCATTTCTCCAGCCCTTAATAGCTTTAAAAATTTTTTTATTTACTGTGTGGCAGCCATAGGGACACAGATGAGTGGAATCCAGGAGGGGTGGAACAGCAAACAAAGTAAGTGCTTTTAAACTGTTGTGTGAAAATTGCTGTGGGAGTTCAGGCTAGTGACTACGTCTTCTAGAAAAGTCAGGAAAGACTTCTGAAGGAGCTGGCATTTGAGTGGCCATTGAGGATGGGTAGGAGTCTTAAGTATAAAGGAGGAAAGCAGCCTACAGGGAATGAGCAGTGTGTGCTAAGACAGAGCTCACACTGTGCCCAGGGATGGTGAGAGCTTAGCAATGCTCGTGTGGCCACTGGCAGGATGAAATGGAGGACAGGTAAGTCAGGGTCAGATCATGAAAGGCTTCCATCTATGGAATTTGAATCTTGTTTTAGCATCACCAAAAACCAGTTGGACAGTGATAAAGCCAGCTGGCAAAATGAGTTAGGAACCAGTAAATGTACAGTGACATAAAAGACCTGAGTTATGGCAGTATTGACCCAGTATAGTAGGTTTTGAGCTAGAAGTGACATGAGATGATGAGTCAGTAGAATGAAATGCATAGAAAGGAGAACCATCAGAGGAAGATGGCCGACTGCGTGCCGTGCCCTTCCCCTACCCTGTGAATGTTGGTGTCATTAACTGGAAGGGAGAATGCACCCCAGGACTGTTTCCTGAGGTGAGAGCCGGGAGGCCTGTCCTGTACTGACGTAGCCACAGGCAAGGACGAGGCTGGTTTTGTTTCACTTTGCCTTTTGTTTGTTTTTTTTCCTGTATAAACTATGTGTCCTGACCTGAAGTGCTCCAAATATAGTCTGCATCAATGTTTATAGTCCACGTGAAATAATCAGGCTCAGTAGGTTTCCAAGAAAAATATTATACCTGGGGGCTGAAATGATGGCTCAGCAGTTAAGAGCACTGGTTGCTCTTGCAGAAGACCCGGGTTCGATTCCAAGCACCCACAGGGTAGCTAACAACTGTCCAGAACTCCAGTTCTGACACCCTCTTCTGACCTCCGAGGGCACTGCAGGACATGGGTGCACTTACATACATGCAGGCAATACATTCATACATATAACATAAAAATAATAAGTAAAATATTTTTAAAAGAACATTACACATGTAAAATACAAATTTCTATAAGGTAATTAGATATTTTTATTCTAAAAATAAAAAAAGAGAGGATTTGGGGAGTGGTACTTCATCCTCTCATTCCTGGTATTTTTTTTTTTCTTTTTTTAAAACTCATTTTCCATCATTAAAAATGATTTTATCATCACTGTGTTATGTAACACATTTTTTAGCTTTTCAAAACCACTGTGTAAGCCAAGCTCTTTCTCTCTATATATATATGTAATAAACCAAATTTTCACTGATGCTAAAAATGAATAGTTAGATTTATTGCTTATAAGTGGAACTTATGACCTAAAACCCATGTAATGTGCTGGTATAAACACAGGCGACCAGAACTGTTTTGCTGGCCATCTTGGGTCTTTGAAGTTGGTGAGCCCCTAGGCTGTGCACACACACAAACTAGACAGTTCATTGATTTTTATGAGTAAATGGATTTTGTATATGAACATTAGTAGATCCTGTTGAAGATTTTCCACTTTCTTTTAAAAATACATTTTTTTAATATGTATGAGTGAGTGTATTGCCTGCATGTATGTAAGTGCACCTGTCTCATAAAGTCCCCTCAGAGGTCACAAGAGGGTGATGGATCCCCTGGAACTGGAGTTACAGATGGTTGTTAGCTGCCTTGTGGGTTCTGAGAATCGAACCGAGGTCCTCTGGAAGAGCAACCAGTGCTCTTAACCACTAAACCATCTCTCCAGCCCCAAGATTTTTCACTTTCTGATACATAATATATTTTATCTCCTCCTCCTTTTTATTTTGAATGCACTTTTTTGAGAATTGTTTTCTCTTGATAACATTTAAGCTGGTGGTAGAACATACTAAATTATTAATTTTTCATTCAGTTGCTGAGTCAACAGATTTCTATATTTTGTTCTTGCACCTTGGGGGCTTTAAAGTTCTGTGATTCTGAAATACTGTTCAGGTTCTTAAAATGTGCTTGCTGTTTGTAGAAACAAATTGGAGAAGCATGGTGGAGACTTCAGATGGCTTGGAAGTATCAGAAAATGAGAGGGAAGGTTCCTGTACGCACAGTACTTCTGAAAAGCCGGGTGAACTTGCATTTGACACAACCCCTGTTGGTAAGCAACCGCCACTGGTGGCGGCAGGCAGCACCACCTCAGCTGTGAACCAGGGGAAATCCACAAGTGATAAGGACGAAGTGAAGCCGGATGACCTGGAGTGGGCCTCCCAGCAGAGCACAGAGACCGGCTCTTTGGATGGCAGCTGCCGAGATCTTTTGAATTCCTCCATCACCAGCACCACCAGCACTCTCGTACCTGGCATGCTTGAAGAAGAGGATGATGAGGAGGAGGAAGAGGAGGAAGATTATACCCATGAACCCATATCTGTAGAAGTTCAGCTCAATAGTAGAATTGAGTCCTGGGTCTCAGAGACCCAGAGGACTATGGAAACCCTTCAGCTTGGAAAAACCCTTAATGGTTCTGAAGAAGACAGTGTAGAACAGAGTGGGGAAGAGGAAGCAGAAACTCCTGAGGGGCCGGAGCCAGGGGTCGACAATGAGACCTGGACTCCTGACCCGCAAGCCAGTCCTGAGCAGCCAAAGCCCGGTAGCCCCGAAAACAAAGAGCCCTCTGATGCTGATTCTCCTCCCCAAAGTATGTAGCTCAGGACACACCAGCTGCTTGTCTCCAGCTTGTCAAGGTTGCGGCCTCTACTTGATGCTTCATCTCAACTTTTGCCACTGTCCAGTACTTACTGTGTTTTAAATTCTCAACAAAATTTTTGTAGCTTTTACCTATTTTGTTACGATCTCCAACTTTGCCTTTAATTAGTATCTAAGTCTCTTTATAAAAATTGTGTAGAAAATTCAGATTTGTTTCAACTTACTTTGTAATGAAAACTAAAGAAGACCAAGTTCTAAAGAGAATGAATTTAAAATGCTATGTAAGGTTATTTTACAAATTAAAGAGCAAAGTTGTAAGGGTGAAAGCAGGTCCAAGTATTTGCTCCAGTCTTCTCTACACTAATGTGTCTGATGGAGAAGTTACTCAGGCTCCTTTAAAAAGCTGAAGTGGGCTCAGAGACGAGCAGGCTCAGAGACAAGCAGGTGGTGAGTGGCAGGTCACAGGTGTGTGTTTAAAATGGATGCAGCTTTTATTTGGCCCACAAGTGCTTGTTTGGGAAGTCACTGACCATCGTCGTCCGTGAGAGCTGGGATGGGCAGCCTGCAGAACTTGGGCAAGCGCTGGAGCATCGCCCCATTACATTAGAGCTGGCTGGCCTCATTTATGGAAAGCGATAGATGTCTGTAAGAGCAAATGGGTGCCTGTGATGGGACCTCCAGGTTCTGCCCTGTTTGTTTCTTACCTCAGGAATGCTCTTGTACATATTTATGTAGAGTTAGGCAAACTCTGACAGGTGAATCATGTACAGGTTTGTGTAACTGCAGCACTTACCTGTGAACCACCCAGAAGCAAAGCTGTTGTGCTGTGTTCTGCTTCTGGTTTTGAACCCTCTTGATTTGAGATCTGGATCTGTTTGAGTATTCAAATAAGTTCTCATTGCAAGTCATTTCATCTTTTATGAAGACATTTCCACACCTTCCTCATAGCAACAACCACAGTTACAGGAAGTCAGGGAAAGGAATTTTATATAACCTGTAATGTGTCTAGGTAAAGCTAGAAGTTTTAGAAGGGAAGAGAAAGTTGTTCTATTATGCTGAACCTTTAAGTGATTTAGAGTATACAAGTATATGCAGAAATTAGTTTTTTATTCACTTGATTATGTCTGCCCTTGTCTAGGAATGTGTGTATTTGCTTGGGAGAATTGTAACCTAATGACCTGTTGTATTCGCTGGCCAGCCGCCAGACTTCGGTAGGCTCTCTCATCCATCTTTTTTTGTTTACTCTCCTCCCTCCATCCCCAGCTACTAGCGCACAGATGGACATGTGAGCTTTCTACCTACAAGCCCCAACAAACGGACACAGAAGCAAGGAGGGAGGGGCACTTTCCTCACCCCGGTTATGTGAGGAAGGACTCTGCCTGGGAGGGGCAGAAGAAAACACCGAGAAAAATGCTTGACTTACGTAATTGGGAGTACCATGATGGTCTTAAGGTTTTATGCTGCTGGCATTTAATTACTGGAGGGGTTAGATTTTTGGTTTCTGATACAGTATTTGTGAAATTGTGAAAGTTTAGGAGCGTTGCTCTATAAAACATGTCAGACTGTCAACTTTATTAGTGTGCTAAAAGGGACAGTAGTGTACTGTCCAGTCTAAGCTGCTGTCCAGTACAGACTTTAGGCACTAATTACCTGGTACTAAAAATTGGCACATAAGGAATGAAGCCTCTAAAGTGGTAATCATGGATTGACACATGGCAGATTCTTACTATCTGTATATTTGGAAATGTGAATTTAAGGAAATGATAGAGGTTTTGAACTACTGACAGTTTTGAAAGTGAATTTTCAAACTTTTCACATTTTTATGATATTATTTCTTGCTTGATGTCAGTGATTCAGATAGCTCTTGATCTTGAGGCCTGGCTTTTCAAAAGTTTCTTATATTTTATTTCTTTTCTGGACATGAATCATCATTGTAGATTTTTGAAATTTTATACTAAAAGAGAACTTAAGGAAATCTTGAACACCAGTGACGTAATTTTGCTACAGACTTCAGAAGTTCCACCTGTGCTCTCTCCACAGGCAGGGCTGCTTCTGACACATCCAAGGGACCACAGCCTGTTTTATATGAAACTTGTTACTACTTGAGGACAGCCCAAGATTTCTCAAAGGATGTGCTACCACACTGAGTTTATTTCCATGTGTATCAATGATATCTTTACAACTTGTTTCCTTTGGATAAACTTTGGGATTTGTGTGTATTGAGTTACAGGCTTTAGAGGATGTATGAGGATCAGGAAAACGTTATTTTTGGAAGTAGGGGAGGTTTACTCATTGGAGACTTAGAAGGAAATCAGATGGTAAGAGTACATCAGCACAAGAAGTATAAACTGATTTTTTTTCCTTAGTATGTAGAAGTAGTATTACTGGCAATAATTAATGTTAGATTTCTATTCCAGTACATGAGTATGTGAATTACAGTATAAACTACACTCTCCAAGTTAGTTTTCTTTCGTAGGTTTGTTTGCTGTGAAGATTACTCCTCAAAGACAAAGGTTCATAATAGCGTAACTTTGGTTTAAATGTTTGTAAATGATGTAATATAATTTCTTTTGACTAAACATGGAAAAATAAATGTGTTATACATTGAAAAGTTTTTACAGGCTTTGACTGGAGGTCATTTTTGAAGAGATGGTATTTTATATGCTTCCAGTATTTAGAGAAGAATTAGTCAAAAGGAATTCACGTAA